TATATATATATATATATATATATATATATATAGATCCAAAACAAAAAATTCGGTGCCTCACATTGGGTTATCCGAATCACCCCCATGTATATTCAGCGATTTTTGGTAGTTTTCGAGTTATGATTTTTTAATGGATTTTTTGAAATTTTCAGCCAGAGATAGGCTATAATTTTTTTTATTTTTTTTTCAATTTGTATTGTATTGTACTTTAACGCACAAAACAATCGGCTTCGTAACACCAATAGAAGCCACGAAAATTTTGACTCAAAGTGGAAAATTCGCGTCCGAGCGAGTTAGACTTGAATTTTTAACTTTAAATTACAAATCTAAACCGGCATTTCCATTGTTCCTGGAAACTTTAAAAACTGCGCTACTCTTAAACTTTCTTATTAATTTAAAAAAAAAGTATGTAAACGCACGCCACGTCGTGAGGCAGTCCCTAGAGTTGACCCGGATCGCAGAGAAATAGTGCTGGAAGCACTTCGTCAGAATCCATCAACGAGTACGAGAACTAGGGCTGAGCATCCCAAGATCGTCTATCCAAGAGATAATTCACGGGGAAGGATACCACGCACATCACATTCAGCAAGTCCAAGCTTTATTGCCTACATATTATAAATTGCGGGTTGATTTTTGCCGAATTATGTTGCGAAAACAACGAGAGGTACCCAATTTTTTAATAAAATTTTGTGGACGGATGAGTCACGATTAGAGCGAACTGGAGTATTCAATATTCATAATTACCGCACACAGGCGGTTGACAATCCTCACGCGGCGAGACCTTCACACTTTTCAACATCGTTTTAGTGTGAACACGTGGTCTGGTATTCTCAATGGAGATTTAATTGGGCCGTTAGAACTGCCATCAAGACTTAATGCAGAAATCTACAAAAGTTTTTTGTAAAACAATCTACCACTGTTGATGGAAGACGTTAATCTTGAATCTTTACGAACCATGGTGTTTTAAAATGACGGTGCACCATGTCACTACGCAATACAAGTGCGAAATTATTTAAACCCAACGTACCAGTACAGATGGATCGGACGAAACTGACCAATTAGGTGGCCTCCACGTTCACCTGACCTCAAACCGATCGACTGTTTTGTTTAGGGTTTTTACAAAGAAATAACATACGCCTGAGAATGTTCGAAGGAACAAGAACTGAGGGAAAAAATCCAAGAAGCCAAACGTGCTGTAAAAAGCAACAGACAAGCTTTTCGAAGATTAAAACACAATTTCTTGCATCATAGGTGTAAAATCTGCATTTCTGTTGGAGGCCTTCATTTTGAAAACCTTTTATAAATAAATGTATTTTCATCACACATAACTGTTTTATTAACTCAATTTAAAAATGAGAAAAAAGTTCAAAAAAATAGTTAAATAATCTAAATAAATACTAAACGCTATTGGTCGGTACGGCTGCACTCAACGAGTAGTATAAGTTTGTTCATTGTATAAAGTACTGCCTTATATTTGTGTAAATAGTTTAAGGTTTATTTGTTGTACAAAGTATTACGCTAATATTTTGTTGTAATAGTCTTAAGTGGTAGAAATAAAGTTGTGCGTGTGTCTCGTTTCATTCCAATAAGGATCAAACAGGTATTCAGTTGAAATAATGAGTAAAGTAGAGAATATGCCTGTTTGACTACTTATACACCTGAACCGGGGGGTAGATTAGTATAAGTACGTCGCCCGGCACAAATCGCCTGCGGGCGCACAACTAAGGCCGTTATGTACCACTTATGGGTTTTAAGACATTATGTACAAATCAGCAGTAAGTAATATATAATAGAAAAGCATTTGTAATAAATGAATACATATGTGAAACATGAATAACTAGTACGAAGGGGGTGAGGTAACTTTTGGCGGGAAATGAAGGCTCGCTAACCTATAAAAGGCGCACTGGCGCCAATAGACACACAGTTCAAGAACAACCTATGCTCGAAACACATAGAAAATCCCGAAGACGAGCCAGCAGCCAACCTTACCAGACAAAAAGTCTCCTGATCTTCATAGTATAAATAACTGGCAGTTTTACGGAATCCAGTCATAGGTGCATCTCGCACAGCTATTAAGTTATTATTTTATTTATAGACTTTGTATTAATGAGAAGTTTTTTGTATTAATAATAAAGTTTAGAGCCTAGCGCAGTTTTTGAAGTTACCCAGGACCTATGAAATTGCCGGTTTAGATTTTTAATGTAAAATTGAAAGTTCAAGTCAGACTCTCTCAAACGCGAATTTTCCACTTTGAGGCAAAACTTTCGTAGCTTCCATTGGTGTTACAAAGCCGTTTATTTAGTATATTAAAGTACAATTCATAAAGATTGAGTTTAAAAAAAAGCCGATAAATTGTTGTACAAATTGAAAAAACAAAAATCTGAGCCGATCCGGTTGGAAATTTCAAAAAATCCATTAAAAAAATCATAACCCTAAAACTACTAAAAATCGCGGAACTTACATGGGGGTAATTCGGATATCCTCGCAAATATACAATGAATTTAATATCTGCAAAGAAATTTAATTATATATGTGAAGTTCCCAAACCGCATTGGGTTAAGCTCTCCCATTGTGAAAGGATGCTTGTGCCCAGAAGTGGGATTATATATAAGCTATATAAGTAAAAACTCACATTAATGAGCGGCTGCAACATGCCAAGACGTGCAAGGAGCAGCTGTTCCTTGACCTGGCGCAGTTCCTCCTGCTGGCGCACGATCATCTGTTGTAACTGCTCGTGCTTGCGTTGCAACTGCTCCTGCCACAGCCACTAACTCGCATCACATTGCACTCACACCGTGAACGTTTGTTTAAATAGGTGTTCATTATGACTTCTTTGTCAAGTATAGGGGCAGTGTTTGGTTTGATCACATTGAATTAAGTGCATGATGTTATTCTAGTAATGCTCAACAAATGACGTTGATCTTACTTAGAAGTAACAGCTTTTGTCGCCCCAGCGGTTAGCAATGTGGGCGGTGTGTGGATAATCTGTTCCGGATTGGATAAAAGGCTCCGGATTAGATTCCCGTAGGACCAATTTGTAAATTGTTCCTGATTCGAAAGTTCTGGAAGACTCACGGCTCTGGCACTCAAAACAAAAGGGATTTTGTAGTTTAAGACTAGATAATGGGTATGATCGTGTGGTATATTATTATTATTGAATTCATATACCAAAAACCATAAAATATTTAAATTGCCACCTGTTGGCACACCATTGAACTTTGTAACTGAGGACTATCACTCAACTTGCCGTTTAAATGAAACTGAATGGACTGCCATCACATCTGTACTCGTCCATAAGCAATCAACTTTCGACAAATTCATCTATTAGATATGAACATCTTAATTTAGTAGTAACGACGCTCACCTGTAATTGCGCTTGATCAGGGCAGACAATGACAGGAAGGGGCGGTAGCGACATCGGCGGCACAACGGGCATCCCCACTGCGCTCACATACGGCGCCGGCTCTAGGTACTGCGCGCCGATACCGTGCTGCGGCACTAGCGTTTGCTCAGAAGCCTTATGCATCTATATAAAAACAAGTTCACTTATTACCCTACAATGTAAAATGGTTTAGCGTAGTATGTACAAAGTAATCTATTTCAAGCACTCACGTGATATGAAAAATCATCGTAATTACTAAAATTTTAATAATATAATATAAAATCCAGGACATTTACTTATTATTATTTATATTATACGTACATACATATTGTAGACTTAATAATATCGATGACTTACTTTCTCAAACTCGTATCTTATAAAGAGTGATTATTCAGGAGTTGGCAAAACTTTCTATTTATTTTAAATTTCTTATCGAGGGTGTCAATTTGGATGCATTACTTTAAAAATAGATAAAAGCCAGTGTGTGAATACGAAGGAAATGTGATGTGAAATCAGCCTGCATAATTTGTATATGCAATCCATTTTTTGCATTTCAGTAACTTTGTGCTTTAAGATACGAGTTTGAGAAAGTAAGGCGACGCCATGTATTACAAAAGGCGAAGTCATATTTGAAGGACATATTCAGTGTTCTTTTTATTTAAAAACTAAGTACGTATTTGACTTCCATTTCACCTGATATAAAGTGACGATGAAGTCGACAACGGAGCATGCCACCTAAATAAAGCCTATTCACTCTCGCCTTCAAAAGGCCCAAGTTATACCGTTCAGGGAACGAGTCTGCAGACAGGGATTCCAATCCATAGCCGCTCGCCATATATATGTGGAAGCGAAACGCTTCGTGCGAATCCTCGGAATATCCACAACATAGATGTGGAACCCCAGCCTCTGGTCCGCCGATGATAGGAGAAGGCGGAATTAAGTCGTGCAATTCCCACGCACACTCTCCGTGATATATCCTTATCCAGGTAATGGTATTGAAAACTTTCACATTGTTATCTACGTAAATTCCAGGTGGTTCGAAATGCTTATCACTCACTCGTCACATGTACTGCACAATTCTAGTCCGAAATCAGGCCACGTTACGTTACCGTACAAATTGCGAAAGAATTTATGCATTTATTTCTAATGCATGCAGTGACTTCGGCAAACGATCGACAAACGGTGTAGCTAGTCGATAAGTGTTCTACTCCTTTGAAGATGCCGAAAACAAATAGCTCGCGAAATATTATTTGAGCCTATAAATGTTATGAACTAGAACGGTATTATGCTTTAATACGGTAATAAAAACAAAAATTCTTTTTACAAAAAAAATAAATAAAGAGTGAACATACATCAAGGATACTGATTAAGGATGGTATCGATTAATCGGAATAATCGGTGTTTTTTAATCGATGACATCTTGTTCGATTAATCGCATAATCGATGATTTCATACTGATTTTTGCTAAAAAAATAAAACTATGTTTCATAAAAATATTTTATAAACATGTTAAAATTTGGAAAAAACAACGGCATTTAAATCCAAATGATCATTTTATTTAGTCGATTTTCGAAAATGAGACTTGCGCACAATAAATACCGTGGTACCAGAAAGATGGTTTACAAAAGCTTATCATAAAATTTGTCTTCACCGCCTTTGAAAAATTTATAATGAATACTACTATATTGTTGTAATTTGTGTAATTTGAAATAAGGCGGGAAATGAGGGTTATGTTATGAGGTTCCTATGCATCCCGCCTGAGCCGCCACCTGTGTTTTCGAGGTTATTCTAGAAACCTTGGTACTATTAGCTTAGACTTAATGGAGTGTTGTCTAGTTCTTTATATCTAGTAAGTTTTTTTCTTACTTTAGAAATCAGGTAAACAAAGAAGCTGGGTTTGTAAACCGTAACAGACGAAAGTGACGTTATACAATTTTACTTACACAGCTAAAAAAAATCACCAACAAGAGTATGGAGTAATGCCACCTATTAAAATATTTATATTTTGTCGATTGTCGGTATATCGATTGTTTATCAAAAACAATAATCGATGTCAATATTCGATGTTTTGTTGGTCTATACTCATACATAATTCTGATGGAAATGTACCTACAACATTTTCTTTTAAGCATTAATAGTATTTTTTACGTCAGTAGCAGCCAGAAACTAAACCTCCAATTGCTATGCTCTTGATATACCCCTTCCGCTCCTCGACTCCCGTCAACCTCTTCATACGTGGCTTGATATTTGTAACACGGATATTTACATGGACGTCCTTAGCCTGATAGAGATATTTTGCTCCACTTTTTCATCCACACATCACCTAATATGCACCCTGATATTTGTAACACGGATATTTACATGGACGTCCTTAGCCTGATAGAGATATTTTGCTCCACTTTTTCATCCACACATTACCTAATATGCACCCTTTTTACATCACCAAACCATCGGAGCATTCCGTTTTCTCTTCTAGTCGCTACATAATCTTTCACACCGTAACGCCCTCTTGCTACTCATTCGGCATTCAGTCTTTAAAACTAATACCGGACATACCGCGTAAAGCACTTATTTTTACAGCAAAGCAAAATACCCAACTTTAATTTTACCCTTACCATGTCTTGTGAATAGACTACCCAGATACACAAATTCCTTCACTTATGCTAGTTTTCCATTACCAGTACTTAAAATCCCAAAAATTTGTCCTCAGTCAGTTTTTGCACTCCTTTAAACTTTTAATCAGTCGATATTATATGAAAATTTCAGCTATTTTCACTGAACCCATTAGATTGATCTATCACCTGCTCCTCGTTGAGTATCATATCACTTATTAAGAATCTCATTGGAGTCAATTTGCAATCGACATACCTGACACCTGAATAATGGACCTTTGAGGAAATTGCATATACATGCGGGATCGTAAAGTAGTCTAGGCTCTACTCTATGAGTAGAAATACTGACTGAATTAATATAGATTATTAATATAGGTGAATTATATGTGTTTGGAATGTATTTAAAAAATACATTCCAAACAAATAGAAAAAAGTGGAAGATCTTGGCAATTCTAGACTAAGATTCCAAATTGAATACACGTTTGCAGTTATATTTCATTTATAGCCTGGACGTAGCTCAGGTAGCTTTGCGAGAGATACTTTTATAAGAGAAACGACGATTATTTCATAAATATAACTGAGTAAAAATTAAAGCCTTGCAAGGGGCTCATTCGTTACACAGTATATACTTACATACACGCAAGAAGGGTAATAAATTACCTCTTGTGTACTATTTCGACGCGAGGAGAGCGAATCACCGGAGAGGGAGGCAGTATCGGAGCCGGTATAACGCACTTGCGAGCCTCGCGTCCACGAGACGGCCACAGTGGCGGTAGTGCTCGTCGTGGCTACTGTACCAGCGGTGCTGCTCATCGATACAGACTTCACCGAAGACGGCTGCTCATGAAAATACATGAGCTATATTTGGTGATGCAAAACTATTAAATAAAAACATATTGGTTTAAAAAGCAGAGTATTTACCTGAGATGAAGGCTGATAAGTATTGCCAAAAGCATCACTAGCCTCTGACATGTAGGATGGCGACAAGGCGACTATGGTGTCTTCGGGCGGCGCTTCCTTTACTGATCCTCCGGCCATGCTAATGCTGCCCACCTGCTGCGATGCTTTAGGCTGGGTCACGGTTTCTGCCTCATTGCTCTCCTGCTTCGTACTATTCGATATGTCTGCGTAACTGGCAAGGCGATACATAATCGTGTCATACAATTTAATTCATAATTCAACAGTATAGCACAACAAGTCAGACAATATGCTGTACCTTACAACACGATGTGTGCACACTACAAACTCCGGTTTGGAATTCCATTGGTGATATGTAATAAAAAACCGAGTCTGAAGCCAGATCCACTGCTGCCCTTTGGTGAGAAAGCGATAATAACAAGAAGTCAATTCGCCTTTCTGCATTACTGAAAATATATATATAATTCATACGTTTATTGTTGAAATGAAAGAATATAGTCACATTTAAAAGAAAATAATAATTTATTTTACTTCAGATGTCATGGAACTAAACCTAGTATACAATATACACAAGGTATGAATTAATAATTAGGTAGGCACTACTGTCCACCTGGAAGTTAATGACTGCAAGAGTCTGATGGCGCACTTGTCTCGCATCTAATTTGTAAGACGCTTGCGATTACTTTATCACAATACAATTGCTGAGAATGACCATCAATTCACACGTAGTCTTTAAACATAACTGTCTCAACTTGTAATACTCACATGCTTCATGACAAGTCACGACTTTCTCGAGGTCGTCGAAATGGTAATAATCGTAACCAGATGTACCCAGAACTTCAAAGGGCAAATATCCAATTATAGGCGGAGCTCGATGATCAAGGAATAAAAATTTCCACTCGAGACTGTGACGCGAAGTGAACTCGTTGCGGTTTGAATCCACCAGGGACACATCGCGAATCAGCTGAGGTGTGTACAAGCGACCCGTACACACAAGTAATAGTCTGAAAAAAAAGTATATTTCAAGACGCATCGCAAAAGAACTACATAAAGTATGAAAAGAACTCCTTGCTAATAAGTCCGTACCACTAATAAATTACCTAAGTAAAACTCATTTAATTCTCGGTGAACATCACTTTTTGTAGTAAGGTCAACCTCGTATATCAAACTATTTTAATCGAGTTGTGAGTAGGTTGCGATTTAAATACAAGACTGTCTAGTCCAGGGTTCCCAAACTTATTTTGTCTTTGAGAATAAATTATTTTTTAGCGCCCCCATTTTTTCACCTACTTAAAAACCACTATAACTTCAAATTAATTAATTATTGTGAGCTATATTAGCGGAGATTAAACATGCATTCTAAACGAGACTTTTACTCTAACCCGCAAGAGTTAACTTAAGACTTGAGCGCAGTAGGACTACCTACAACACTATTGGTTAGCCTGAGACCTTAGTTAACTTGAGTGTATAGTACACAATGGCGCTCAGGTCTCAAGTTAACTCTTAAGGGCTACACCTGCCAATGAGAACGATTATTGAAACGCAACTATACAGTATTCAGACAGAGTATCTTTTATTCAAAATAAAACAAACATAATCGATTCTAATATAAAAACTAATGTGAAGGATGAATCTGATGCTGTTTAATAAGTTTGTTGATATCAGGTTCTAATTTACTCAAGAACAGCCGCAAGTCACCACGTTCGGTAACATGCAAATGATTTCTCTTTTTAGTAACCAGCGTTGTCACAGCACTAAAACCACGTTGACACAAATACCTATGACGATGGGAATGCTATCAAGAAACGTTGAACGATTGACCACAATCCAGGGTACAATTGCGGGATCGGTTTTTGTAGCTAAAATTCTTGGTAGCCATTTTTGAACTTGATTTTTATTTCCTCATTCGTTGTCAATTCTATAAGTTCTTCATCCAGCTGAGGTGATATTGCTGTGCTGACATTTGAAAACGGATCCAACACCCAGTCTGGTATTTCCAAGTTCAAAATGACTTGGTATCTTTCGGTGAAGTCAATGTGGAGGTTTACCAAATATTGGCAGTAGGCAAACAAGTCGTCGTTACCGCAGGATACTGATAAATTCGGAAAATTGTGAAACTCACGTCTGCCCATATTCTTTTTGTGTAGAAGCAGTTTGGCTGCGAAAGCAGCAACGACATTTTTTGTTTTAATTAAATTTAGTTCATCGCCTTGCAGTTGGAGATTCACGTCGTTGAACAATTTATACAGGTCTGTCATGTAAGCTATATCATTCTTTGATGTAATGAGCATGTTGCGCAATTCTGTATCTTTAGTTGCCAAGAACTCTATCACAGAGTCAAGCCGGTTGTAAAATCGAGTCAGACAATTGCCTCTTGATAGCCAACGAACTTCAGTATGAAACAACAAACGGTTGAAATTCCGTCATTAGTAACACAAAGCTGATGAAATAATCTATCATTCAAAGAGCTGTTACGGATTTTATTTACTGCTTTGTTGATATATTGCAGTGATTGAAATAGTCGTTCACTTAAATTTGTAGCAACCAAGTGTTGTTTATGAATAACGCAATGTACAGCAAGGGCATCTGGAATTTTATTTTTCAAATACACTATGAAGCCTTTATGGGACCCTGTCATAGCCGGAGCGCCATCCGTAGCAACTGATTTTTTCAAGGTAATTTTTTCTTTCTCATCACAAAACTTTTCCAATGTATTGAATATGGTTTCGCCTTTTGTATCGATCTCTAAATTTCAAGTAAACAATAGTTCTTCACATATTTTCTCATGTTTAATAAACCTCACGTAAGACAGCAACAATGCTTCATTAGTTGGTAAAGTGGACTCATCGAGCTGAATTGAGAATTGACTAATCCTCAGATGATTGCACAATGATTCTTCAATGTTTTCAGCCATTTCGTCAATTCGTCTTTGCACAGAAAAGGAATTTTTCGGATAATATCTGCGGCCGGTTTATGAAGCACAGTAGTTATTACTTACTTTATTGTTGGCAAAATTAACTCTTCTCCGATGTTGTGTGGTTTGCCTTTTTGAGCAATGAACAAAGAGATATTTGTACGAAGCTCGAAGTCCGTCTTCATCTTGCTTAGCAGCCGCCGAAAAGAGTTTTGCTACACTTGGCTGAGTATTATGCTTTTTCTCTAGGTCTTGAAAATATGCTACATTCTTGTCTTTCTTATCTGGATGCATTTTGTTCAAATGATCTTGCATTCGAAAACGTTTTTAGACATAGAAGGCACAAACCCACAAATCCGTCGTCGACGGGTTTGTGGGATTTTCAATTAATACGAATTTAATATATTCCGCACAGTATTGCCGTCTTTCCTTTTTTACCTTCGACATTGTTTAGTTTTGAGAAATATGTAAGTAAGTGTTGAACTTAAGTACTGCTTATCTATTACGCGCGAAACCGCAAATGAAAATATTTTTTTTAGTTGCGGTCCTGACTTACGACACTTAGGGTCGTATTCCAGAACTCTACTCAATACTGAGAGTATTGTAGTGAGCACTGAAAATCATACTCAAGTCCTTGCCATTAAGGTCGTATTATATTATACGGTTCCAGTGCTTGAAATAGTACTCAAGTCTGCTCAAATCCTGACTTGAGCATTGAGTAGAGTTCTAGAATACGACCCTAAGAGTCTTCCTACATGAAATTACAAATCTCCCCCTAAGCCTCTACACAACGCCCCTATGCCCCTATTTTTTTTTCTGGATCTCTTACCGGCCCCCTTTAGGCATGCAGCGCTCACAAGGGGGCGTTACCGCCCACTTTCGGAAAGGCTGGTCTCGTTAATGGAGGTACGTACGCAAGGAAACAATCTAGACGTCATTGACTTTCTATATATATATTTTAGGCATTCAAAATACTCGATCTTCGACTGTTAGTCCGTCAAAAAAACTCCAGAGTACCAATTTTGTTTAGTTCTGGAGAATAATTACTTTAAAATTCTTCGCCTTTTGTACTTAAAAAGCACAAAAATAGTTGATTATAACTAAAAAAAATAATAACAGTACGAAATAATTATTAAAATGGTTTTAAAAGGTATTTTACACTATTCATGTAGCTTTGCTGATTTGCCCTTTAGAACAGCAAAACGCAACACTTGCTAAGTTTTATTCCAAATGTCTGGTCTAACAAGACTTGAAACACAGTAGTGTACCTATTCCCACAAATTCATCTAATAACTGTAATAGTAAGTACATGTGCAAGGACACAATAGCACCAAAATAGTGTGCTGAGTACAATCTACTTCGTGAGATAAACTTAAGTACCTAAGTTATACTAACATTATAAAGGTAATTACCAGGAAAATTAATTTTGAACGTTAACTTTAAATATTATAAAATAATAATTTCTTCGGTGTTGCATGTAGGTTGTAAGAATATCAGTAGTAAAGTACCTTGACTCAGGATTCTGCGGATACCCAGATATGTCGCTGTTGTCGGCTTGTTCCATGTTCATTCCTGCAAATAAATTATTCGTTGATAATCATAGAAACACGGTTAGTGAATGACCCCACACGTACACCCATTCTTATCAATTCTTAGAATACTCACTTAAATGTCCATTGAACTGAACGAGTTCAAACGTCGTATCGTCTCTGAAGTCCAGAGTACCCCGTCTAAGGCGGCATTGGAAACGTATCTCGTTCTCTGGAACCATTAAGCAAAAACATAAATTCAAAACAGAGAAGTTTGAGAAATTGCTCAATATTTTTTATTCGTATCAAGGTTTCTTTTTAAAAGTTAAACGATCATTATTCATTACGAAAAAGTATTTCACAACATTCGCGATGTTCGTAAAAAGTTTCAGATACCCCACTAGTTTTCGTAATGAAATTGAAATGAGCTTACAAATATCAAAGGAAAAGAGCCAGTATAGTGAAACCTATGACATCACAGTGAATACGCTTCAATTACGTTTACTGCATGGATAAAGCTAATTGAATATTCTATGATATTCTCGCCGAGTATCATCACTGCGCAGGATTTATACCTATCGACTGTGAACTGGCAACCGGTACTATGTAATTTTGACAAATGAATAGGATGAAGAAAAAATCATTTATATAGCATCTTGTTTATTAAATAAAAATACGTAGTTGTGCATAGGGCGCATTATAAGTTTCCGGAACTGGCCACTAATATAAACAATATTTAAAAATTAATTACAACATTAGAAAATGGAACTCTGGCTATAGAATACAGTTTGTTTCATCTGACTGTCACTTGTTTTTACATTGTGTGTGTGGCTTTATTTTAGAAATTGGTTGTCTACATCACCGTGGATTTAACTCGTGAAAATTTTCGTAGTTTGAGTTTTTACTACTTTAAGTGTAATTTAACAGCTTAGCGGGGCTTCCCTCGGCTTCAAACTGCTTTTGGTGATGAAACACCATACAAGACGACTTTTAGACCTGGTTTGCAGAATTTAAACGCATTCGTGATAGTCGCCCGTCCACTGGTGTGAACAACAAAAACATCGATGCTGTGCGCCGTATAATCAAAACAGACAGGCACGTGACATACCATGAGATTCTTTAGGCATAGGCTTGAGTTATTAATATAATCAATACTACACAAACATTTGTGTGTGAAAAAGCTGTGCTCTCGGTTGATCCCACACAACTTGACTGAGCCTCAAAAAACGGATCGCGTCACTTACTTACCAGATTCTACGAAGGGGCATCAAAATTGTGGTGGGACAGGTGACGAAATATGGATTTATAGTTACGATCCTAAAACAAAGCAGCAATCGAGCGTATGGATCTTTCGAGATGAGCTGAAACCAACCTAAGTGGCACGCGTGCAAAGTGCCTCTAAGCGGGTGATTGCTTCTTTTTTAAATAAAACTGGACACGTCGCTACTGTTACTTTAGAGAATCGTTGTACCGTGAATAGTGATTGGTACACGACCATTTGTTTGCCGGAACTTATTGACAAACTCCGGAAAAAATAACCGTAAACGCCGTATCATCTTGCGCCACGATAATGCCAGTTCTCACACGGCCAGACAGACAATGAAATTTTGAATTATGAGCCATCCCACGTACAGTCCCGAGCTGGCGCGTTGTTGTGACTTTTATTTATTTCCAAAAATTAAGAACCAGATATGCGGTCAACGATTTTCATCACCTGAAGAAGCTGTCGAAGAGTATGAAAAATATGTTTCAGAGATTGTCACGAAGGAGTGGCATAAATATTTTCAAAATTGGTTCATTCGTATGAAAAGTGCCTTAACGCTAACGACCATTTATAGTATTTTTATCTTATTCATTCCGGAAACTTATAGTGCGCCTCACGTACATACATACACGTGCAATAAAAATATTTAAAAAGTACGTATTTTTATTCAATAAACCAGATGCTATATAAATGAGGCAAACAATTTTTTTTTACACTGTAAAGTTGTCAAAATTGAGATAGTACTGATTGACAGTTCACAGTCGATATACTGAAGTTTTTTTTAATAACTGTGTGACGGGATGAACAAGTCACACGCCTGATGCTAAGCGACACATCTGTCCATAACAGTTGCAGTACCACGCAGAGATTTAAATCACAAAGATCTGAGGGGCACTGCCACTGCGCCCGACACCCTGCGACATAACTTGACAAGTCCCATGTGCCTGTAATTTGACCAGCACCCGTACCCTTTCAAACCGGAACGCAGTAATGCTCACACTACTATGGCGGCAGAAATAGGTAAGGTGGCATTACTGCCCTGGACTTCTTTCACAAAAAGCTCCACTACTATTATTGAATAACAAAGATCGCGTAGCATTTTAATCAGTTTCAGTAAACAATACTGTGTTATATACGCTGTGTAGTAACTGTAAATATTACTGAAACGACACAAGCAAAAAAATTTTGCAAGTCACTCGCACACTTCATCGGTTGTTAAACAACGTAGCGACATTATCGAGAACTTGTCGGTCCGGGCTCCGCTACGACTGGAGCAGATGAGGTGATGTCTAAACGCACCAAAACGCGTATTGTCGGAATGAACAAAATTCTAGCTTTTTACTGGGACCTGGTTCTGGTAGAATCGGAAACGACTCCGTAAATACCGGACCTAAAAAACTAGAACACGCAGTATCACGGGTCCATAAGCAAAGCCAACTACAGTTCGTGGTCTGCGTGGGGACTAATTCTAAGATATCATAATTTATATCATTAAACTCGTTATTGAAAGCCCAATGTTAGCTAGCGTTTGCGCAACTGAGTTCCGGCTTTCTATCCTTGACACAGACCTGCAGTTCTGTGTTTGAATTATATCAGATAAAATTTTTAATTTGAAATTGCGTGGAAAATAGTGGAAACCATCGTGAGGAGATCCACCTTTACGCTCTGGTTCATCATAAATGTTACAAGAACACATTGAGATAAAAAATTAAATAATATTGAAATATGGATAGTCTATTAACAAAGTTCGTCGTTATCACTTATGTATTCAATGTTCTACTAACTCACTTAAAGGATTGAAAGTGGCCGCTAGTTAGCACAAAGAAAAACTATTACATCGCCAAAGATTACAAAAGTTCTCATCAAAATTTAAAACAATAACTTACTCGCCAAGACATTAAGTGTTAATAACATAATGCAGTCAATAAATCTGATTTACGTTGTCTAATAATTTGAAGTAATAAGTTCTACGTCGTTATGTGTTTAAAAGTCAATTCATGTATATATGCAATATAGTTCAAATGTTTTTGTGTGCCATGTTTAAAGGAAATTCAAATACCACTCATATTTATTAACTTGCTTTTTGAGTTTCAAAAACGCATTATTGCATTCATAGTCCTTACATCGAAAATTACATAATACAGGGTGGACAGGTTGCCGAAAACAAAAAAAGGTGGATTCAGACTATGATTCTTAGATGATTTTCTCCCGGACATTTCTAAAAATTTTCCATTTTTTTCCATTAATCAAAAATTTTTATGTAAACAATGTAGATCAACAAATTACACAAGCAATCGTCATATTTCCACATCAATTTCTCATTAAAATCGGTTACACACGACGACGGCGACTTTTAGCAGCGCATCTGCAGCGACTCAGTCACGACGCAGTCGCTAATATTATCTACCTTTACAAACAAGCGCGACTTAAGTGGCGATACAATCGCGATGCAAATACACGTTTTTAATTATTCAACATAAGCGAGAGCATCGATGCAGTCGCGCGTTTGCATCGATGCAACCGCCGTGCCCCGTCGCTGCTAAAAGTCGCCGTGTGTAACCGCTCAAAGATGTGTTGTTAAAATCTGTAATGTATATGTACGTTAATTATTGTCATTACTTTGTGATAGTAACCTCGACAATGATTTAATGTGGCAATCGTCAATTAGTTTTAATTGGTTTCCGGTAGATGGCGCCACAATGTGATTTGTACTATTTGTAGATGGAAAAAAATAATAGTCAAAGCTTTTTTTAAATATATAATAGACACACGCTTGGCCACAATCTCACTTGATGTTAAGCGACGATGTGACCGACGATGAGACGCGTTTGAAATGCCTATTCACTCTAGCCTTGAATAGCCCCAAATTGTACTGTACGGAAAGTCGGAGTAAGGTGTAGGGGACTCCGTTTTGATGTGAAAAGACACGCCTGTGTTTTACACGCATTAAACCTGACCCTGTTAGCATCTCCCCTGTCGGAAGCCGCTTTCAGACTCAGATTCAACCGGGTGACCATTGCATCGCCTCTCGCTTCACAGGATCTCTTCGCCGTTGTCTCGGGCGTCTGGCACATAACTCTCTACCACTGTGCTGTCGTCTGCGTATCCAAAGATACCGGGCATCAGCAGCAGGTCGTTGAAATGCAGCAAGAATAGAGTGGCGGAGAGGAGGGATCCCTGAGATACACCGGCATTTATACCATGAGGAGCAGACGAGTAACCATCTACAACTACACGGATTGACCTATCATTCAAAAAAATCGCCTATCCATGTGCAAAAGCCAACAGGAATTCCGTAAGCTGGAAGCTTGTTTAACAGGCTATCAAGCCAAACCCTATTAAAGGCCTTTGAAATGTCGAGAGACACGGCAAGCGATTCACCGCGTTTCTCGACAGCCTCGCCCCATAAATGTGTGGCGCAAGAAGATCCCCAGTAGATAGACCACGGCGAAAACCGTACTGTCGATTGCTGAGAAGATCGTTATCTTCGAGGTATCCAAGGAGACGGCTGTTCAATACGCGCTCCATAATCTTACAGAGTATGGAGGTGATTGCGATAGGTCGATAATTAAATGGGTCGGTATGACTACCTTTCTTAAGTACAGGCTGTACATTTGCAAGCTTCCAGGTTTTCGGGACTTGTCCAGAACTCATAGAGAGGCGATACAGGCGAGTCAACACCGGAGACAACTCGGGTGTACAGTTCTGCAGGACAATCGCTGGGATTCCGTCAGGGCCACTGGCTTTGTTGACGTCTAATTTGCGTAAAGTTTTCAACACCTTTTTTTTGACGGACAGTGCTCTCGGGCATTTACGAATCATAGCGAGGTAATGTAGGTGGTGTTTGCAAAGTAGCGTCAAGACGGGAGTTGGAAGCAAAAAGAGAAACACAAAGATTTGCTTTTCCTTGAGCGGTGTGACGATCCGTTAGCTCTCATTAAAGACGGAAGGGATGACTTGCAGAAATT